CAATATTCTGTAGCTGAATGATAACATGCTGTCTTGAAGTTTCGAATATTTTCTTTCATCCTCAGCCATGGAATATTTAATGCTCCTTCGTTTTAGCTCATTCTTTATTTGATATCAGTTCACATGAAAAATACCTCCAAATCCTATATATATTATCAACTAGCCTACTCTGTATGTATTTTCAGCCGCTTAATAATCCATAAATAAATCCTTCATTTTTTTATGATATACTTTTCACGGATAATCATTTCAATACTCCCCCATGCTTTAACAAACTCTTCATAATATTCTACTCTATAAACTCCCTAGTTCTTAGGATAGTGTAATTATTCATGTTTATGAAAGATTTATGTCACTTTAAATAGGGATTTACAGTTCCGAATATGTTTTCTCTTCTTTACATATCTAAAGGTTTATTCATCATTTTGATCAGATGATATTAAATTATTTGGTTAATGAGATATCAAGTGATTATCAGTAACTGGTTTATTGGTTAAGATGTTGAACTAAAAATCTTCTAAATGTCTTTGATAATATCAAATTCTTTGAGTTAGATAATTTAATCAGAAAGGTTTCATTATTTTTTTGACAACATTGTCAACCAGCAATTCAACTACACATCCTAATGAATGCAACAGTACCAAAATGTTTTTACTCGATTGGCACTTTGTTGTACTGACAGTGTTAGAGTATGTAGGTAAAAACATATGGAACAAAACTAGATAAATATTAAAACTCTTTAGAAGTATATTAAAGTAGAAAGAAATGACAAACAAATGTCTATATGGTTGATAAACTTAACTTATTCAACATCAAAAGTGTCTCCTAACAGAAATAAGCAAAAGTACAAAGGATAATCAATTTAACGTAACTGAATACAAGTATTAATTCTTTGTTTTTATATAGCTACGTTCTAGGGTATTGGTATTCCCACAACAAATTGATTTTAGCAAATTAAAATAGGAATTTCGAATTGGTTAGAATTACTCCACTACTAATCGTTTAGTAATCAAAGGTATTTGAACTGTTGAATTGACAAGTTAATCTAAGTTAGATCACCATTGAGAACCTGTAAGCACAGGACCGCAGCTTCATTCTTGTATGGGATATACCAAGAGGTACAAAACAACAAGAACAAAGAAACAATTTCTATATAAACTAGATAAACAGGAAAAATAATAGAATTAAGCTTATCTTATCAGAAATAATAATATAATCACAGTAAACACTGTTTTTAATTAGAAACTTTAAGCCAAAACTCCGTCTGAAACACTTATAGACTATCATCTTCATGGAACGTGTGAAAGTCAGATAGGAAAAGTTTTCTACTTAACCTTTTCTCGACCCCCTTGTTTCACAAACAGATATTGCAAACCAGAAAGATTAGCAAGGATAATCTAGTTCACTAAAGGATAACATGTTTCATATTGATTAGATCCTATATAATTTAAGGATAAACTTTAATTACTAATAATAAACTCCATTTTGGGACATTCGATTTATCAAGTCTTTAAAACCAAATCCCTCTTACAGAAAAAGATAATTAGTAATATGGTGACCAATGACATAATCCACTGAAACCTAAATGATATGTAAAATTGATTTTTCCCAATCGTCTGTGGATATGTAGCCACATCTTAAAGAGTAAATATATCACAGTCATTTAATTATATCTGTTGGTTATAGATGCTTATTGTAAATGTATTTACATAAGTGTTTTGATCAACTGATGATTAATACTACTCAGTTCAATTTATATAAATCTAAATAAATAATTTAAACAAGTAGTGCATTCGTATATTATCTTGATTTAATTCTGGTGTCAACTAAATCCATGTAAACAGTGTTTGTACTTGTACTAATAGTAATTGAATTGGCTTTTTTTATCACAAAGCACAAGTTACTTAAGTATCCAGCGGATATTACGTTTGAAGACATAACAGAAAATGTCATCAGCTCTCACTCAAACAAGATGGTTTAAAACTGAGAACATAAATCCGTGGCTCACAAATGAACTACATTAAATTATATAAGTCAAATCGATGAAAGATTGGAGTCCGATTTTCAAATGATACTGTGATTAAGTTAGTTACAGTATTAGCCCTTTCTCTACTGTAGGAAATGGATAAAACAATCTACCGAGTTTTTAGTGAATATGTTGTTAATTAGTTTTAACTGATAACTTAACGTCCATGACTCACTTTGTAATTATCATCATCAGAAATGTTTTCTTAGCATACAAAAATGTGTTTCCGGTGATTTGAATCAGATTTAACATTATATCAACTGAAATTTTTCGTTTGTTCAAAATTGTCAAGAATTAAATGAATGTTATAATAGTATCACTCTTTTGAGCATATTATACTTAGATATACTAATTGGAGAAAGCGTGTGAATCCCTGGTCCCTAAAAACTTACCCTTTATCTATGTCTTTACTCAGAATCTGAAATTGTTAATCTCATTTACATTTTTAAACTGAAAATGGTTTGGACATTGTTCTTGCATCGTTTTGTCACACAGATGTCCACGAAGTATGAAGACTTATGTTAGTTTTACGATATTAGGTGTTTTAATGGATCTCTACAGAACCTAGTCTCTCATTATTCCAACTCTTAACAGCCTGTTAAACTAAGTAGCTTATTAAGGTTACTTTCATTTGGAAATATAGGGAAAAGTCAGGATAATTGAATTTCTGCCAAGTCGGATTCGGTCTAATTGTCACTGTTAACAATATTCACGAAATATTCCTGATTTTCTGGAGCATCCAAATGAGTGATTTAAAGATATCTTCCATAACACACCGTCTACAGATCAGGTTTGATATCTGCTGTGATAGTGGCAACATATGATCGGAGAGTCATAACAACGAAACGAAACTTTCTAGCGCTTACTAATTTTTTAACAGTTCTTCATCTGGTCTTAGTAAAAAAAGCTATCCTCATAGAATGTTTATTTACGAAGTGATTTATACCCCTTTAATGAATGGAAGCAGAATTTAACTTTCGTTCACACCAACGATTTGACATTAAAAGGTAGGACAATTTATTTATTTCTTATTGGTGAAGCTAGCCTCTTCAATAGTTTCTACTACCCATTTTGACAAGTACAACTTTCTTAATAAACTGATATTAGTTAAATAAGCAATGAAACTTATTTCCTACTAATTTTCAGTGTAAATATTCTGACTTTTTGCCTTGGCATAATCAATTTTAACCAAGCAATCAATAAACTAAATGAATCAAAACTGTTTTGGAAAGTTCATGATGTACCGCAGATAGACACTCATTATTGATGCACTATACGTTTGACCTTTAAAAATGTATCAAAAAACTAGCTGTCTGAAAGACAAAATATTCCTGTTATAATTTTTGATTGCACAAAATGAACCTTAATGTGGTATTGGGCGATCTGATATATTTTGTACTGAACAAACAATGCACTATATATAACTTTATTTTAATGAAATGATAATTTAATTATGTTTTATAGCCCCATTATCAATAAAACTAATCAATGACTGACTAACATAAGCGGAATTAATAGTTTATAACTTGTATTCTAAGTACCTCTTAACATCGGTTTAAATGATTATTCATTCGTATTGGTTGTTTAAATCTTCCCATTTATATTTAAGACAACGATTAACCAGTTTCTCTAGAAATATGTGTGTGCTGTGTGGATTGCCTGAATATTTCCATTAAGTCACAGGTATTTTAAGCGGAGATAACAAGTAGCTATCATGGGAGTCTAAGATGCTCCTTTCTTCCTGTTTAGGATTCCTCACTTGTATGTACCTCCATCCCAGAATTTATGTTCACTCTGAGACTTGAGCCCGATACTGTTCACTTCAAAAGTCTTTGCGTTATCCACTTAGCTTCTGAATCCAGATAGCATTTAACTTTCAGTCCTAAATCCCCTTTGAGAGAATTAGACAACCAATACAAATGAATTTGAGTTCACCCCATTGTACAAGCCAGAGGCTGTTTAGACCCAATAACTAAGTGATTAAAGTGTTTGTATTTGAGGCGAAAGAAAATTTCGATGAATTGTTTTAGATCAAGCTACTGTATAGCTCCAGTGAATGATCGAGTAACAGAATTTTATTGATAGCTAAAATCTTGTTAAGTGCAATGGATTTGATGACTTTCATTTGTTTGTTAATGTGCTCTAAACTCAAGGTCTACCAGCAAGCAATATTATCTGTACAACCAACAACTTCATTTACAACAGATAAAAGATTTTTCACTTCTTTCTGTTATATCAAAATATAAATCATCACCTTAGATCTTCTGGAAAGCCCAGTAACCTGATTTCAGATGAAGAAGGTACTCCAAATGCTCCCCTGTTAATTATTAATTCAGATTTTCATATACTAATGTGACCTCAAAGTAAGCAGTAGTCGAGAGATTATCTTGAATGCATTGCCATCGTGATATTTGCATTTGAGACCAAACTTAACAACTAAAAAGGGCACACTTCTCACTTTGAACCCTAAATGGTATAGAAGAAAACTTTCTGGTAGGTATACGGTGCACTTCAAAGCATAAGGAGTTAAGAGAATCAATTAATCATTTGTGATCGTCAGAGTAAATGCTTTGAAAACCAACTATATATTTTGGGAATTGAATGAATCATAAGGTCATTACAGACCAACATTGATAGGGAAATAAACAAGTGATACTGAAACTTCATTTGTCGAATATTTCAATCTAGTGTTTATTTTGATAACAATAATAAAAAGGTTGCTCTCATTAAGCAAGGAAATATCATTTTTCACTGATATGGTAAGGGATCAAATGATAGCTTCTGAAAACTGTAATTCGGAATTTTGGAAATGGTCGTCAGTACAAAATACTTTTCTCTAAACCTATAGTAAAACTAAAATTAGATGAATACCATCTTCAGGTATGGATCCAAATTGCTATACGATCATAAATACCTTTTAAGTACTTTGTGATTACATTTAACCCTTAGAAAAACTAAATAAGTTATTCATCTTGTAAATGATTTGGTGTATAACGGAATAAATTTAAAATCTTTTTATAAGTATAAGTTCTTACTTAACAAATCTGTAGAAATCCTGATCTTTTATTGGATCAGATCTTTTTCTCATAATTCATAACTCTTTAAAGCTTGCAAAATGAAAATAAAATCACTTTATATGTTTGAAAATAAGTGATGATAATGAAATCTTTTGTATCATTGATCCATTATGGTATTTCATTTTAACGTATTACTTCAGCAGGACTCGTATGAAAGCACACTAGATCAATAAACATGTTACACTGCAAATACTCAACGATAACAAATAATCGATAAGAAGAGAGCAGAATTTCATGGAATTAAGTACCGAAAATTCCAAATTGATTTTATATCATTTGAGAACTGTGGTAGCAAATATCCTTTCTGATTAGTTTATATACTAAGTTCTATGAAAACTTTCCATCTATCCAACAATTTCCTTATTTTATTTTTAGATAAAAAAGTAAAATTTGTTATTATTTTAATTTTACATGTTGTCCTTTTTTTATTTAAAGAAAATATTACAAAATCTCCGAATGATAACATCTACTTAGTTTTACATTGGCTATCAAAATTAACCGTTTTTTATGGTTGAAAGACTAGTTACATTTGATTTTGATTTACATTACATAGGCCTTTTGTTTATTAAAAAATAATACAATCAATAACACAATAAATGTTAACTTTTATCTTTATCAATTTTCCTTATTGTCGTTTTAGTTATAATTAAAATCAATCATCCATTAGTGGTTAACCTTTTTTAATTATTGAACAAAATCGTTAAAACTGAAAATGAAGTCATACTATGATTAAAAAAATACATAATTTCCTCCCAGCTATTAATCTAGAAGATTTATACAGAAAGCTTAATCACAAATAATAAATATAAATTAAGTCAGTCATAAAAATGAAGCAGAAATCTTTGTCGTAGGACTGAACACAGTGTAAACCCTTTCTTGTTGTTTGTTGTTACTATTCAATCTAGTTGGTAAAAAGTAAGGAATATAACATAATTTCTGTAAGTTAGGTAATATTAAAAAAAGGGGTGTATATACTTCCTGTCAGTTTTTTGCATCATTTACTGTATCATTTGCACAGGGTTCTTTTGGTACTGTAAAAACTGATAAGGAACTTTTAAATGAAATTGGTTCTGTCTGCACAGCATGTTTAGTATCTCCCTTTATCGTTACTTCCTCAGATGATAATGTTCTTAACTTGTTATATATCGTCGTTCCATCATTTTCTCCAGTATTAGTTATTTCATCACAAATTTCTGTCTTCATACACCATACAGGTCCAGAATCGTTTTCAGTGTTCAAACATTGTTGCCGTATTGTATTAATTGCTAATTCAGAATCACCTATGGTCTGTAAATTTTACAAAAACAATTTACATACATATATTAAAGTATGAAAATACTTAATTAGCTTTCAATTGTCAACCAGGTTTTAATACAAAGTTCAAATATCTTTAAACCATTACACAGGAGAAACTGTGACGTTTGGTCACTGTACCTGGTCCTAATGGTCCGTTAATCTGGGCATTTGGTACAGCTCATAGTAAAATAGTACTATTTGTCATATATTGTTTTCAACACAGTTCATTGTCCACAGTCATATCTCAATCATTATACAATTTTGCCATGTCATTTTATTCATTACTATTTCATGGTTTTTAAACAGTAGCTAAGACCTCTGGATATTTTAAATGGATTTCGTGATCTCGAAAAACTGCGCCATTAGATTATATGATTATTTTGATACAACTATCCGTTATCAACTGCTTACTGAAACACATACATTAAATACAACTATTTCACTCGATTAGTATGTTATATAGAGGGCTAGTGTGAAACAAGACAAGAAATTGCCTAGTACATAATAAACGCAGTGGAGGAAATAAAGTTCAATCGTGGTTATATGGAACTTAAATCATTTTACATACGTTCTTATAATCAGTATAGTATGTTATCTGCCTGAAATAATTCTTAGTGTCTTTATTCTTTTTGTTAACATAAAACTGATGTGTCTTTTTAATACCTAGCTAAACGTGGAGCGAAAAATCCAATAGTACAAAAGTTATACCGACGAACATGTAAGTCAATAAATTTCTATATTACGAAACAGAAAAATGAAACCATTTTGGATGATATTTAAACTAACCAAATGAACAACACGTAAATATATCTTTAAAATTATAAAATCATCGCATTTTGACTAAATACTTTTGATACTAATTACCAGTGAAATTCAAAATATCTGTATAATTTTACTTAGAATTCGTCAGTTGTAAGTATATGCACCTCCACAGTTGATGTTAATAATGAGACTTGGAACCAGTATACACCAATTAAACCCTTGGAAATAATAATAATTTTTTTCAATGTCTTTTATTAAATGTTAACACTTGATGAAAAAGACAAAAAACATTTAAGTCTGTCTTATACAAATGAGTCTTTTAGTGGTTTGTACGCAAATAATTTCTTATACTTGTATGATCGTTAAATAAAAATACAAGACCAGCTGTCCTTTCACTAATCTACCAGTTTGTTCCTTAGTTTACGAATATAGATCATTTGTTCAAGAAGTAAAACTGTGAAATCATTACGATCTTTTTTTAAATAACACACTGTTCAGTATTAATATTCAGTTCATGAAATATAATAAATAATTGTACTCTATACAAATGCATATCGATAATGAGATTATTTAGTATCATTTATAGGCTTAAATAATAAAGCGACTTGATTAGAATAAAAGTTGGCTAAACCCACGATCAAGTGGATTGGGCAATCGATTTTCATAAAGTTGAACGACAGTGTAAAAAATTAATTTTGAAATCCTGAGAAATATTTGCAGTCAGTGTGTTTTAATCACTTTCATTTAAGTGATGGACGAAATTAAATAGAATCCTTATAAATGACCATTTGAAAGTGTTTAAAGTGCCTTAGACATAATAGCAATACAAGACTAAGCACATAAATTAGTTTTATAAGTCATTAAAATTGCTTTAAAGCTAATATCAAACTGTAATATGGTAGCCGTGACACATCATTCATGAAACGATGGTGAATTAATACCAATGTTATTTTCAAAATAATTATACCCTTCAAACTTAAAGCTCAAAAAATGGGAGTTTACTTAGCAAAAATAAATTTGAAAAAATATTTTGGTACATATTTATTCAAAAGTCCTAGTTACTCAATTGTCATTTAGGTCAAACTGGTTGTAGACCCGACCTTACATATATAAATTATGTAAACTAAACCTTTAAAATAAATGCTAAAGTAATTAAGGTGGAAAGCAAAAAAATAATTTCCTAACTTTACTTTCAGAATATATCGAGAATAAAGTAATCATTACCTTCAAATGCTGATAGATAAACTCATAAAACGATGATTTATTAAGTACACAAATTCGAAATTGTGTTAAAGTTTTCATTGTTGCATTTCGAAAATTTTAAGATATATAAAAAAACATCTTTAGACAAATAGGAGTATATGCCTTTAATGGGAACAAAGCAATATTTAATTCATATGAAACCGCTCTAATTTTATTTCTTAAATGGGAAGATTTGTTTTAAAATTATTAGTTTACTAAAAGAACTGCATTAGCTCAAAATTATAACAAGGTGATTTTTGTCATACATAGATACACGTTAAAGGGAACACTAGATTGTTATTTCGTAGTATGTGATCACTCAGCAATGCATGCCCACAATCCCACCACGTGTCGAACTTAGAACTATTAAGTTCCAAAGTGAGTTTATCACATTTAGACAAGTGATTTCGAATCCAGTTGCTCACATTTCCAACTTCAACCAATTTGTGACATTGTGTTCTGTCCTTTAATACCACTTTTAATAAAGGACTAGATGTATCAAACAACTGATAACAGCTGATGCCTGACCAAAAATGTAACGATAGTCAATATGAAATAATTTTTCGACAATTCATCAGTTCAATGGTCTGATTATTAAATCTTGATTATATAAGGGTGTAGTTAATATTATAGGGAAAATACATTTTTTCAGTCATGCGAAAAAAGAAGCCTAATAAAATTACTCCTTTCCAGTTAATTGCTAAATGATAGATTGATAACAGAAGCTATCAATGTTACACGTTCTAAATTAAGTTATTTAAAAACCTACTTATCCAACCAAATTTTAATTATGCAACAATGTACACCTTATCAGGCACGGTCAGACCAACATAAATTAGCTTAGTTCAGATATATTATAACATTGTCCATCATTTTTTTCATATTAAATGTGGTCAAATATATCTTGGTTATACTTGTCGATTGATTACTTCTTTGGTCGCAGTCCCACGTAGGTCAAACATTTATAAATTTATTGTGCTTACAATATTATGTTCTCATTTTTATTGGACGTGTTATCAAACACATATTTCCGTATACCCATAATATACAAAACAAAATCGATTTCATCACTCGCTATATTCATATTTTTTAAATTTATATTTAAATATACATGTAACAATATCAACGAATTATGATTTATATGATACTATAAATTTCTTCATGGTTGAATCCCTTAAACTGATAGAATTGAATGCAACGACAAATATTAGGTCTGTGGTATTGAAGCTCATTTTACTTGGGACCAAGTGTTTCAAATCAATTTAGAAAACCTGTATATAGGTTTACTTTTACTAACTCTTGGCATTATACGATTGAAACTCTACTTTCAGTAGTCATTAGTCTATAATTAAACATGGTATACCTGACTTATTTCTCTATTAATCCTTAGTGGTTAACTCGGTTTAAATAAAGACATAGAATAGCTCATGATTTAATGAGTGGAAGTGAAATAACCCCTAAGTAAGGAATGCAGAGACGTTTGCTGTGGTAATGTACAAAGTCCAAAGTTTTATGATGAAAAGCAGCAGGCAAGATAAAACTGTCCGGTTTCAAATGCAATGAAGTTTAAATAACTGTATACGGTGATTAGTTAACACTGTCTAGTCTAATTTTCCATGTAATGATTAAGTTAGATTAAAAGTATTTTATTAATTCTACTGTGGTATTTATTGATGAAACTCTATAAAAATACCATAAAAAGAGTCATTTTAGATTACACTTGATGATCTCTTGATATGAAATAAACAGTACATATTGAATGAATTATGACACTTTACTTATAGGTAAAGTAAATGATAAAAACATTTTTATTGAGATCATCAAAGTCATTAACCCATAATTGTAGTTAATCATTTGAGTGAACTCCATCATTCTTCATGCTTACCAAGTTTTTGTAAAAGTTTGACTGATCTATATACTCATGGCTTTGTATGGGCCGTCATTATACGATTCATTTTGTAAATTTAAAGGTCATTATTTAGAATGCATTTTGTGTACTTCGGAATGGCATGTATGATAATATTCTAGAGTCAGTTTAAAAGAATCTAAGCATCTACTAGTAAGCTTTATTAGAGTTAGACTAGAAGATCTGAATTATTCATAATAAAATCCTCAAGCCTAGCAATTTTTATATTAAAAAGTCCGGTATGATTTCTTTTGTTTCCGAACCGCCCAACTGTGTATTGATGAAAAAATGAGTCATACCCCTAATAATTATTAGGTGTTTAATGTACTATGACTAACCATAAGCTAACCACAAAAGTATTCAAAACTAAGCTTACAGATATGCTTCGAAGATCTAGTAAATTACCTAATTATGTATATATCTATGATTGTACCGATTCTATTAAAAAGTAAAAAGCGTTTTTATAAAAGCTCATAATATCAAAAATACTTAGTTATGTTTTTTTTGCAAATAAACTGATTTTGTACGACTTACTTTGTTTGGTTTCATACTTGTTTCATCTGACTCAGGTATATCTAGTCGTTTAAACTGTTGACTTTGTTCTTGTTTATTACTCTGGATAATTACATTTGGATTTTGTGAATCACGTTTTACGTTTATCACCTTTTTTCTTTTAACGGTTTCTGATAAAACAATATAACTCTGTTCTTTACGCCAAAGTTTCCATGATTGATGATGATATCGAAGAGAAAACTAAAAGTTTTTTATTTTAAAATGTTTTAGTTTTCTAGTAAATTACAAATATTCGTAAGTTGATAAAGCAAATGTGACAAATAACCAATTGATACTTAAAATCTTTTAAAGTATTTTTCTATGAAATCCAAGTTTCGTTAAACACGTGCACTTGAATGGTGCATGCAGATAGCAGTCAGTCAGCGACAACATAGGACCAGGCACATTTATGCATCGGTTCAAGTTGCCATACCTCGTTAGCACAACAAGATCAACACCGGATTCATAGAAATAGTTAATTTAGTGGTGGTAGTATATAAAGAAATGTTGTTTATAAGGATATAGTATAGGAAGAAAAAAAGTTATGAAGCAATTTTAATCTCAAGGTTTAAGGGAAGATAAAGAGTGTATACATCTACACTATTGTGATCGATTCTGAGCCATGTCACCTAGAGTCTCCAACCATTGGTTACGATAGTCACGCGGACCCCAACCATGTAGTCTGCATCTACCAACAAGGCTCAGACTAGAAGTTAGTGACTTCAAGCACTGATGCCACGTTTTGGTTTGGCCGCCCCTAACTCTCTTCCAACCATCCCCTACACTAATCAACATTGCGCGTCGTGGTAATCGATGTTCAGGCATACGTAACACGTGGCCCAACCATCTCAGTCGATGAAGATTCATCACCTCATCAACTGATTTACCATCATTCCCTAATACCCTGCGTCTAACCTCATTATTACTTACCCGGTTATCTCAGCAGATGCGAGCAATATTTCTAAGGCATCTGTGGTCAAATACTAGTAACCTACGAGTATCTTCTACTCTTAATGACCATTTTTCGCAACCGTAAAGTAGAACAGAATGAACTGATGTGCAGTATACTCGTCCCTTAATTGATAGACGGATATCTCGTCTTCGCCATAGGTGACGTAAGTTGGCAAAAGCCAAACGAGCTTTTTGAATCCGTGCTGAGATTTCGTCAGACACCAACCCATTAGGGCTGATCAGACTTCCAAGATAAGTGAAGTTGTCGACGCGTTCGACTACTTCACTCATTATCCTTTAGTTCAGGTGTTGACGCAGGCCAGTCTTGGAGTAACAATTCACATTTGGATGGGGAGAAACGCATCCCAAACATCCTGGCATTATTACTCAGTTCTAACAGAAGACTCTGCATTTTGTCTGCGTCTTCACCAAACAGGACTATGTCATCTGCGTATTCTAAGTCGATAAGTGAACCTCCTGGTAGGAGATCAATTCCTGAAAATTCAGTCGACGAGAGTGTTATTTTCAGCAATAGGTCTACAATGAAGTTAAACAAAAATGGGGATAGTAGACAATCTTGTAGGACACCACTTAAGGTTGTAAAGTCATATGACAGTTCGCCATAAGCTCTCACTCGACTGGTAGTGTTCGAGTAAAGAGCCTTCACAAGGTTTATGAACTTCTCAGATACACTGCCACAGAACCTCTCGGTCTACAGAGTCAAATGCTGCTTTTAAGTCAAGAAAACCTATCATTGTCGGACGCCGATAAGCATGTCTGTGCTCTAAAACTTGACGAATGGTGAATATGTGGTCGATACAGCCACGACCAGGTCTGAAGTCAGTCTGATTTTCTCGTGTTTGCAGTTCACGAGTCTTAGTTAGGCGCCCGATAATCATTGAGGCTAGTATTTTAGATGCTATGTTAGTCAGACTAATCCCTCTATGGTTATCTTAATATGATTTTGGCCCCTTCTTATATATTGGGACAATCAGAGATTGTGACTAGTCATAGCAGGTAGTACTTCAAATAAAAATATCATTAAAAACAGAAGAACGTAATTATGACTAAATGTTTTTTTAATTGAAAATTACAAATGGTCACGAAAATGATTGAAGTTTTCCTAACAAATCCTCAAAATTCAAAAAGTAACATTCGATGAACTCTTTACTACATTATAAGAGAAATAGTCGGAGCAAAAAGGAACTGTTTTATGTTATTTTACTTGTGCTAATAAGTTTTTTATCCTTAATTGCGGTCAGAACAGTTTATAAATAAACTTTTATGACGGTCAACTGTAAAGCTACTTCATTTTCATCAAATCTTTCCACAAAATTGGACTTTTATTGAATGATCACGACGGTAGTTTGGTTAGCCACATTAGAAATTGTTGTTAGAATTCATTGAAATGATTTTCTAAACGTGTTATGTTTACAAGATAAGTATTGGACTTTGAAGAATTAAATATTGACTTCTCTATCTATTTCCAAATATCGCCAAAATTATTTTCGAGTAGTACTTGGTTGTAAAATACCTGCGATGAATTTATAAATGTTTGGACAGTTTCTAAGCCGAATAAAAATTTACTCGCCCTTTTTTGATATCCCAATGAACTGCCTAATCCATATTTGTCAGTAGCCAACGAAAATGTGTTATGAAAAACCAGCCACTTTCTGTAAAAGTGTTTTTAGGTGACTATTAATTACCTTTTAGGGCAAATTAATTCGGTACTAAATCGGGGTTTATGGACCCGAAAACACATTAATTCAACAACCTCGAAGCTACAAAAAGCTTTAAAGCAGCATATAACAACGCTTTCGTGCACCTTGTAGATTCATCTTCAGCTTTTAGAGACTACCATTAAGAAGTTTACAAACTTTATGTTCTACAGAATCCAAATGATTTTTGCAAAAGGTGAGAAAGCTTCAAAGACATTGACTTAGTGATTTTAGAGTATCGTAAATTATGTAGAACTATCAAAGCTCAGATTACATTTTAATCGTATTTTAAACTGAGCAAATTAGATTAGACCACATGGTCTTATGTTATTCGAATTTTGTTAACTACGATAAGTTCGGTACTCACCATTAACCATATATTAAATACTAAAAGAAGAAGGCTGCATAATAATCCAAGGAAAAAGGACTGCCATGGAAACTTTCTTGAACTAGCACTTCTTTCATCCTGATTCGAAGAAATCGCCAACCATGCGCACAATGTGAGCAAAGGTATCATTATTAGCAAACAAATTAAATCTGTCCATAAATATCTGCGACGGTGTATTCCATCTCCTTTCCCTCCCATCCATAACCACTAATTTAAGAAAGATTAATAAAATCTATATCGCTTATTTTTTAAGAACAATACTGAGTCTAATTCTAAACAAACTGAGAGATACAAAGTAAATTATAACGGTCCATCTAAAACCTTTTTAAACATAATGAACATGAATAGATCATTTGGTACATGACGTTAACAATGAACTCCATTTATTCAGTATTCTAACGACCATATTGTTTCCTGACTGAAACGTCCACGAAATTAGAAAATAACATCTAAGTTTGATTAACCAGCACATCTTTAATTCCAGGAATTAGTCGTTGGACTACAACTCCTGTCATTTAAATAGATGGTTCAGACGTTACCGTCGACCTGAATTTGTAGCGGCACTTACTATTCTACCTTTCTAATTACAACCTCCATATATTTATTTATATCTGGGCTCACGGAATCCAAAAAGACACTATCTGACTATCCAATATGTCATCAACTTTCAAAAACATTAGAACGGTAAAAACAAATAATAGAGATTTGCCACAATATTTTTGCATTCTCTTTTATGAGTAATAATATATTGCTTGAGGCAACCTGGTTCAGTACTCTAAGAGTCAAAGATACAGCGATTTTTAGACCAAATAACAACGTTATTGCTCCTCATATTCAGGTCTTGCCTAATATCCATTATTTTGAAACATATGTAGGCACTGTCAAATATTTGCCTAAATTTAGGGTTAGGGTTAGGTTATCAAGCTAACTCGATGACCATACGAGTTTACAACAATTTAGAAACATTAAAGTGGTTTTAAACGTACAAGCCACCTTTTTATTTCCCTGTTCACAAAACGCTCCCCAAAACTTGAGTTCAACAGATAGATATTAAAATTCTTTTTGGTATTATTCACTGTTTGTATCCTTTATTTGTTTAAAGTGGCCATCAGATACTCCTTTGAGTCACGTAGGGCCTATAGATATTTTTAATGGATCAAAAGCCACGGAAAAAATGCTATCAACATTCTTCAGGTTTTAGAGCGGCGAAAAGCTAACATGTTTAGTTGAAACTCATTTTTTTAGTTTCTATTTCATTATAACAGTTAATAACGTTCTTTGGACGAACTAAAGATATTGAGAAAAACCTTTATCAATGAGTTCTTCGTTTTGATTTAGTATTTCTGCCTTTTAGAACTACCATAATACTTTTTTGTTCAACAAAAGCATTTAACCTTTAGACAACAAGTGAATAAACGAATAGGGCTATGTATCCATATTATGCCAGTTTTTGTTTAAAATGCATCATTATTGCGTGAAGAAATAAGTAATTGTTCCAAACCAATAACAATAAATGACTCATGCTACGTATGTTGTGAGCTTTTTACAATACGATGTCTACAAATATTGTTTAACTGTCCTCAGACAAGAATAAGGCTCCAAGACTTTAAACTGCCTTCTCCTAATATCTGTTTCAGTTACCATTAAATAATGCGTCGGTAATATAAGCGATGAAAGATTTTCGGATCGATATCCATTCTGTTTATAATTTTGACACAGTAAATTTAACTGTCGTTTTTGAGTCTTCACATAGTAATCCGTCCATAACTACTACAGTACCTTGAGGATCAATCTTTAAATGTCAATCTCGCTAAGTGCATTACCGAATGTTCATTAACAATATCAGTTGATAGACTGAATTTTTCAACAAAACCATTTCTACTAAAATAACAGAATAGACATATTCAACTAAAAACTAAAATACAAACTGTGTTATGACTCAGTTTTCAAAGATCATGGAAAAAACGATTGTCAGGCTGGAAAACGTTTTTGTGGTTCACTAAGTAAACGGATGGTACTCTTAGCATGATGATTTGTATCTGTAAGTAACGAAACAAATGTGCACAGGAGCAATTTTTGCAAGTAAAAAGTACTAATTATCACCTGAATAAAACATATTCTTCATGAGTTCAAAGGGATTTCACAAAACATATCAATCCCTCTGAGCTATGTGTTAATTATATAAGATCAGTTTGTGGGTCGTACCGAAAAAACGGACAGTACTGATTGGTTTAGCAGTAGAGATTATGGATCGAATTCTTAGTACTAGTAAGTAAAGTAATATCCGACACTCTTGTAAAAGCTTATGAAAACCATCAGAAAGTCAGCCTTCACCTTTCTTGTACACCCAACATGATCTTTCAGTGTTCTCAGCAAAGGCAGTAAGTCGAATGCATGGTCACTTAGACTATGGAAATATATTTTATTCTGTCGAGTGGACACATTGAAAATGAAAACTCGTCGACATAGTTAAATATGAAACAGACCTTGCAAAAGTGAGGATAATGTTTTGAAACTTCAAATGTGAAACCACAAATTTCACAGGCTCTTGATCGAGACAAGTTTAACCACTTCTCTAAACACCGTTGATGAACAATTCCAATTGTTCCTATTATCTTCGTGAAATAAAGAAAAATAATTGCTTCATTACCTGCACAATAGCAAGGACTTATCAATTCCTCAAAGTCACTCGACCCCAAGCATATACGACAATAAATCACATCGCCGTTTATCCTAAGGAAAACATAAGGCCTATGGCAAACCGATAAACCTGTTTTACCTCTCAGGCCGTGATAGTGTTTTCGAAAATTCTGAAGTTTTCATGAACGATGCATCTATAAATTACGAATCAAGTTCTAAAACTAAATCGTTATGATTGTTCAGTTGTGAGCTTATACCACGAAGACGCATAGAATTTTTGAAAAGCACACCATTGGGTTCAACCAAAGAAATAGAAAATGCCTATATGTTTAGGTATGTTCGAATGAATATTCATCTGTCAACCAGGAACTTTTAAGAGTTCAGAAAGTTTCAAATTCGCTTCAAAACTACAGATTTGAAGATGTTATTAATACAATGGTTTTGTGAAATATGGTTGTGACACTCAAAAGTAAGTGCATGGTGTACTGCTTGATCGTCCTAAAGTTTCAGCTACCGAATGCTTAGCTAAATATTTGTCTAGAAGAGGACTTCTAAAGATTTTTACTACTGTTTCACAACAATTAACCTGTCACTCGCCTTATTGATGATTTATTATTATTTATTTATTATTATTATTATTAATGGCTTTATTCAATATTATAATCTGGTACAATATAGAATTCTCAGCACGAGTTATTTCAACAAGTTTTTTACCAAAAAAGGAAACCCGAAAAAACAAACAAAACAAAACAAAAAAAAACAAAAAAACAAAAAAAAAACAAAAAAAAAAAAACAAAAAAAAGGTCTAGGAAAAACCGACTTTATACAAATTATCGAATTTGATACATGCTTAAGAAGACAGGTTATTTACTAGGTCAACTCTAACAGCCTGTTCGTCACAAAGTAAATTTGCTAAGTAAGGTATTACAGAACTTTTATAGATTTGCTTGCGTGCATGGATTTTAATGTATTTACGTCTCGTTCTACCAGAAGATATACAAGGAGAAAGATATGAATGAAGCGGATGGTTAGTATCTGATAAGATAACACCTGCCAAGAGTTTGCAAGACTTAAGATGTCTATCCACAAGCATATTAACAATGACTTCAAAAGATTCACCACATACCTTGCAAACCGCCTTCAGCATTCTACGCAAAATAGCAAAGTCTTTTCTCAAAAGCCCAGGAAAGAATAATGGAGAACAATATAAAATAATAGGTAATATGCAGGAATTTACAAATTGTAAGAGTAAATGGCGAGTAATCCCAAAAGCATGCAGCCTCTTAATGTAGTATGTCAAGCGGTAAACTTTTTTCGATAATAGTAAAACATGAGAAGACCAAGAAAGATCAGAGGAAAAAGTAACACCAAGATATTTGACCCTCGACACTGTGTTTATTAAGGAGTCTCCAATGGCACAAGCATTATGGGATCCCAACATAGAGTATAGGTTCTGTCCATGTCTCAAGCTAAAATTAACAGCTTGACATTTAGATGGATTGAGTAAGAGACCATTACCAACAGACCACCTTTCAATACGAGACAAAAACTCATTCATTTCTATAGGATGTAAGGAGGTAGAAATTGGCATACATACAGTGAGGTCGTCCGCATATTTTACAAAAGTGTTTTCTGTGGAAGATGGCAGATCATGCAAAAAGAAAGAGAAGAGCAGAGGTGAAAGAACAGCTCCTTGTGGCACACCTACAGTAGACAGTAGAGATGTTGAACACTTTCTTTCAAATACAGTGTACTGTTCTCTTCCAGAAAGGTAGGAGCGTAGCCAATTGGTTATCCAGCTGTCAGTGTCGATGCGAATCAGCTTGTTAAGTAAGAGGTGTCTTGGAATAGAATCAAAAGCAGAAGTAAAGTCCAGAAAAGCTCATCTAACATACTTCTTACCCTTTTCCAACCCGAACACTATATTGTGATGCAGAACAGCAACGGCATCTAATGTGCTTCTTTTGCATTTGTAAGCAAACTGAAATGGATCACAGTACTCTTTTATTGAAGGTTGAAGTGGTTGTATCAGTAATTTTTCCATTATTTTGAGGAAAGGTGAGGTTATTGCAATGGGTCTAAGTTTCGCATTTTTATCACCAGAAGCTTTCTTAGGTATAGGGATTATCTTTATCTTTCTCCACATTTTCGGTAAGACATTAGTTGAGAAGGATCTGTTAAAGATATTTGTTAATGGATAACATAAAACATCAGCACATTTTTTAAAAAGGAGGTTTGGGATACCATCAGGTCCTAAACATTGAGATGAATTCAGAGACTGGAGACATTTCCGGACATCATTTTCAGTAAAACTGGGGACACAACTATTCTTCAAACCCTTGGATATAGGGAGCATGATGTCAGATGACTGATGAATAAAGGACTTATTTAAGTCACAAACATTTAGCTGGTTTTCGCTTCTAGTCTGCCTGTCCCCTGTAATTTCTTTAAAGAGTTTCCACATACTTGGAGAGCTTCTACAAGATAGGAGTTTTTGAGTGAACACACAGTTGAGACGTCTAATCTCTTGGTTTATTTGATCATTTAACTTACGAACTTCAATAGTGTTTTTCTCCTTGTACATCCTTTCTTTTACCCTCCGTAGTCGTTTTAGTTGTGGAGATGTAAGTCGATCAAAACTTAAAAAGAAGGTTTCGGTAGGACAGCAAATATCAAAACAGAATTTAAGATAAGAGGTGATGACATCCGTTGTGTTTTCTATTGAGTCATCTGTAAGTACTTCCCAGTTGGTCGTACGAAACATGTTTTTCAGATTTTGTAAATTTTCTTCTGAGTAACTCCTATATATTACTTTTTTGGTATGGAGTATGTGTGTACTCTTTCCATGTTTACCATATACTTTAGGCAGGACACGAATTATACAGTGATCCGAACTAGACAATGGAGCACGTTTGCGAGTCACATAGGCACCCACATCATTAATGAAAACCAAGTCTAGATGAGCATTCAAACGAGTAGGAAAATCTACTACATTTAGGTGACCTAGTGATGTAAGGAAGCTACAGTCACATGAATTGAAATCACCACATACAATTGAAAGTGAATCACTGAAGGCAGTAACGGCGAATTCAGTAAATTTATCAGTGAAGACAGATAGCGCAGATGATGTGCAGTCTGGAGTCATGTAGATATTGGTAACATAAATATATTTGTATTTATTCAGGTGTTTTGGACGGCACCTTAAAGTTAGACAGTCAATAAAGTCGTTTGAAAACTTGAAACAGGCAAAAGTAGATCGACACCAGTTAACGTTTACAAAAGTAGCTACTCCGCCACCACAAGTCTTTTTATTGTTTGATCGATCCTGACGATAGATATTAAAATCACGTAATGACACTAAGCAATCATCCTGTAAGTCAGTTAACCAAGATTCTTGAATTGTGATGACACCACAATTACGATACATGTTTTGACTTAGCAGAAATTGGAGATAGTCCACCTTGTTAATTAGTGATCGACAGTTAGAGTTAAGTAGCTCGGGAATCGACATTTGATTGATGTTTATTCTCTTTAAAGCATATTGCCAACCACCACGATGTCTCTTATTGTGCTTGTTTGTAATTTTTGCAGCGAAAGGACGTAAGCTTTTTATAAACGCGCCTGTGTAGGTTATGCGATTAATAGACATAATGATAGGTTAAAACAAATTAAAAAAACCCAGATAACTTGTTGAAATATTTAGATGGCAGAAACAGGTAGCCCAGGTATTCAAGCAGGCCGCTGTAGCTTTTCCTGTACACCATCAAACCCTATATAATGAGTTTTGGTTTTTTTTCTGTTGCTAGTCTGTATTCGGAGCATATTCTTCAACTAAATCTTTTGACTCTGCATTTCGATATCAGAATGATAACCCTTGGCTGTCTAACAGCGTAACAGATCGATTAAGCAGACAAAGATGATTGAGTATGTTTAGGTATGGAGTTAGATCAGTCTCCTGAGAAATGCCTGACAGATTTTAAACTTACTGTGGTGTTTATATGAACAAATGATTCCTTTATACTTGACAACTCTTTTCATTTTGAATCTCAAATACAATACATTCGTTCATGTTCATCTAATACTTCTTTATTAAATCGCGTTGTTTCTGGGATTACTAGTTTATACTAATATTCAAATACTCTCAAACATCATTGGCGTCATTTTTCTTCTCCCAGTCTAGACTGGCGAACTTTGTTTTCAAATGCTTGTCGATGGATTTATGGAGACATTGAACTCAGCGCTACGATCCTTGATGTTAGATGTACTCAAAAGACTTAGTTTAGGCGTTCAACGTTTTCATAGGACGAGACTTGGGTACAGATGGAAGTCTGAAAACCGTTACTCCGAGCAAGCGATCCACATGAGACCCGGGATCCTCAAAAATGAATGGGGTATGAATTCATTCTTGATCACCGGCTACCAGAGGACCTCATCACCTAACGCCGCCCTATTATGTTTCGAATTAGAACTCTGAGTCAAAGGCACCGGTATCAGCCTCCTATGAAAACAAACAGTTTCTGTTTGGACACCGAAACAGCATCTCAGCCGGCAAACAACTCAAATCATCGGAACTGAAAAAACACTCATGTTTCAAATCACATTATCACGAACTGCATTCATAATTATTTGGTAACATTTGTTTATATTTTACATAGCATCACTCGTCTGTTCATTTTAACTATCATTTGTATGTGCCTTTCTTTTTCAACCCATAATGCAGGTCACCTATGGTGAAAACTCTGTCCTATATAAACGATGTCAAGTAACCTGTTGGTCGGAATTTGTGTGTTACGAATGAATACAAACTGTGAACCAGACCTAATGAAACCACATATCCTATTCAAACAGTCATACTTAAACGTTCGTACACTAACGTAGATCGTTCGACGAAAAGAGTATCTATATCTTTAGGAAGTCTCAACAGCAATATATGTTGTCTATCTAAGTCCCGTATTCAAGACTCTAGTGAGGTGCTAAATATTTTCTTTCCATCTACCTCTCCTAAGACCTTTATCCGCGTACACTTATCCCGGCAAGCAGTGACATCTTAATCTGGTTTCGCTGGAACTGGTATCACAGCAATTGTTAGAGATTCAAGGGCGATAAGAGACTTGGCCTTAATTTACTATCCATTATGTGTTGCCGGACTAAAAATCAGTGTGAGAAGCGATGTCTTGACGTTATTTTTGCCTACCGATTGATAGATTGAAGTCCAGATGCAAATAATTATTGTTTCTACCACTGGACATGAGGTATCCGGAAAAAAAGACTTTCAACACATAACACTGAAAGAATGCGAACAATGGTGAACTCAGGGATATCCATCCATTCAGTCGGATGGCATGGCTCAGCAACGCAGATGTGGTCATTCTGTGTAACGTGTCTCTACTTGCGGTTACTTCTTAATCAAAAACGTAACT